GCCAAAGAACAAGGCTTAAATATCTAAAGGTAGATTGTATTATTTCTACCAAGTTCTCAATGTAAAGTAAGGAATAATTATGCCTGAGGAACAGGGAAGAAACAGAAGTGGGCTATAAGCTTTACTAAAACCACAGTGCAGCAATGATCCAGCTCAATCCCTGACCACACAAGACTGGGATAAGAAGCCCAAAGATACTACATCCTTAGGAAAGGGAAGCCTCTGTAACCTCCACAGTACTTTCTAAATAATAAATATCTGATATAATAAAAATTATTAGATATGCAAACACATTCACTGCTCAAGGGGTTTCTGAGAAAATTTCAAAAATTTTCTGGATGTTTTCAGCTAATTTCAACTCTAACTGAAAGGCTAGGTGATAGGTTCAAATTGCAAGAAGCAAAGCTTCTATGAATTGATAGTAATTTAATATTACTCAAGTTTGAGACAAAAAAAACATGAGCATGGGAAGGCATTCTTGTAGGTTGGGAGGCTGAGAAAGTGCTAATTTCTAAATTGTTAAAAGAAAGTGTACTACATGTTTCAATTAACAAGTAAGAAAGGAATGTCTGGGGAAGGCCAAATTAAAGCACATAGGAAACACGGAAAAAGCAGAGGTACTATGATTCCCAAATCAACAGATTAAAACATTAATTTAATCTAGGCAAGTTATCACCTCAGGTCTAGATTAACACCATGCTTCCGTTATTTTCTCTCTAGTAAGCACATGCCCCAAATTCGCCTGAAAATCTAAATCTTCCTCAACCATTTTCACTGTACCATTCTTCTGCTGAAAATACAATTATGGGATCCCATTATCTATCAACCAAGTCTTAGAGTAAACTCTGGCAGTTCAGAACTACCTTGATTTGACCTAATCTAATCTTTTTCAGCATTACTTCTAGAAATGAGAATGGTGGGTTAAATATGGCTATACGTTCTTTACAATTCTTACCTCTATTCTCCGAATATGGGGTGTCCCTTTGACACAGACTAACAGAAGGTGGCAGAAGTGACACTGTTTGCCATAGCTTGGCTTCAAACGGACTTGCAGTTTCTGTTCTTGCCCTCTTAGAACATTACTATTTAAGAAACCTGGGCTATTCTGCTGGAGAAGCCACATGCAAGGGAACCAGCTAATGACCCCAGCTAATCGTCAAACATGTGAGTAGGTCATCTGTACTGCCCAATCATGATGAAGTCACCAGCCACCTGAGTGACCCCAGATATAACCAGAAAATAGCCCAGCTGAGACCAACACAAACCAATTAAAAGCACATAAATTTTTGTTGTTTTAAGCCATTGTTTTTATGCTTAGATATATGCATATATATATATATAATTTAATGTCATATATAAAACCCCAATTTTTAAAAAGAATTCAGTAGTAGGAAAACAACTCAATTTTTTTTTAAATAGGCAAATCTGAATAGACACATCACCAAAGAAGATTCATGAATGACAAATACACACCTAACAAAAATGCTCACCATCATTAATCATTAGGGAAATGCAAACTGAAACTGCAATGAGGTAATACTACATATCTATTTAAACTATTAAAATAAAAATAACTGGCAATAGCAAGTGCTGGCAATAATGAGAGCAACTGGAACAGTCAAGCATTGCTGGTGTGAATGTAAAATGGTATAGGCACTCTAGAAAACATTTGGGCAGTTTCTTATAAAGTTAAACATGAACTTAACAAATGATCCAGCAATCCCATTCCTATGTATTTACACAAGAGAAATAAAAACTCATGCTCACACAAAAACTTACAGGGCAAATGGTTATTACAGTTTTATTATAACTGACAAAAAATGGAAACAACCCTAATGTCCCTCAGCCAGTAAATGCATTTTTAAAAAATGTCAATGCTGCACTACATCCATACTACACAATACCGAGCATTAAATAAAAAATAATTGAAACAATATTCAGCAAAAAAAAAAAGAAAAGAAACCTACCAATAACATTGATGAATCTCCAGTATATTACGTTAAGTGAAAAAAGCCAGACTAAAAAGGCCACATACCACATAATTCTGTTTATATGACATTTTGGAACAAGATAAAATATAGGACAGAAAACAGATCAGTGGATGCCAGTGACAGAAGGTAGGGATAGAATGTGACTACAAAGGGGCAAACAGGATTCTGGGGGAAGGTAGAATTCTTCTATGATTTGATTGTGATCATGGTTACATTAAGCATTTGCCAAAATTCACAGTCCTGTATGCTTAGAAAAAGTGTATTTTACTGTACAGAAATTATTCATCAATTAAGTCAGAATTAACACACACATACAGAGCAACCTCTCATACATTGTACTCAAACATTTGCACCCCTCAGACTAGAGATTTTGAAATTATTTTCCTAAATTTATAGTTTTATCCACAAAATCAGCAAGTTCTAGCTGGAGGGATGGTCAAGAGTGTTTTTAATTATTGCCCTGAATCTTTGAAATTGTAGAGGCAGGTTCTGGGTTGCTTCCCAACTCCAATCGATATGCTTTATCTCAAAGAAATGACATATACAGACATCTGAATGAATCCCTATAGTCTGGCTTACAAACATATTTTAAGAAAACGGCATAACAATTCAGTACAAAATATTATAAGAAGGTGCTAGTTGTACCTCCACTGCTCTTCCTTTAATGCCAGGAGCTCTAAAATGAAATGCCTTTGGATGAAACACAAACGGCCCTACCAGTAGTTGACAGAAGGGCCTGAAGAGATTTCCTTCCTAATGATGGAAAATAATTACTGATTAACTTTCTCCAAAATTTTATATACATAAATATATATGTAAAATTTCCTGAAATTACACATATATATCTATGTAAATAGGCTCATTTGCTCAGACTGTTTTCAGATTGATTGTATTTGATATTACGGCATGATATATTAAGAGTCTCAGCTCTTAGAAGTTGTCTCCACATCTTAATGTAGTAGGTGAGAATTTAATTTCAACCTGAAAGAATATAAGTAAAGTGACTTAAGAGACCCAAAGTTATTTTGCAGACAGAACAACCCATATGAAAGGCAAGCTTTCCTTCACACAATAAAAATAAGATATTTGGCAACCAGAAATAAGCCATTTGAAGTTCTCAGTATTGACACTGTAAGTAGAAGAAAAGTGATCAGTTATTTTTGAGTCTAAATAGTAAAGAAGCAAAATCTTTTCTGAGGAAAATCCCCAAGATGCAGAACAAGATTTTACTATAATCAAAGCATACTACAACATTAACTAGAGCAGCAGCTATTCTTGATGATCTACAGCATCAGACTTTTAGTTGAGATTTTTGAGTCCTGACTTCTCTCTGGTTTCTATTCAGAGAGGCAACACAGTTCATTCAGAGTCCAGGCTTTCAAGTCATACTGCCAGGATTTAAAGTAAGCTCTACCACTTGTGAAGAGTGTGATATTGGGAAAAATTACTTAATATCCCTTTGACTCCTCATCTGTAAAATGGTTATGAAAACATTACCAGCATCTCATAACAAAGTTGTGGAATTCAATTAAGATAATCCATGTAAAAGTCCTTGACACAGTACCTGGCATATGAATAACTCTCAATAAATGATAGCTATTATTACTAACCTCTAAATTATCATTTTGGTCCCCATAAAAATGAGTGAGTAAAACTCTACTGAAAGATCACCTTCTCCATGATCCTCCCTGACTCTTCTCCACAAGGAAACAAAATGATATATAAATTCAAGAAGTTATCTATCCGCTTTCTAATCCCTACTTCATATCTTGATGAACAGTACTACTACTACAAATGACAAGGACGATATTTCATTCATTGTTGTAAAAATGCATCACATCTAGCACTGTCTTCCATACAACATAAAAACACCAAAACAGTATTACGGTGAGGAAAAAGTTAAGAAACTAAACAAAGGGTAAGAATGAAGAGTGAAGGGCAGTCGGGGCAGGGAGAGTGGGGAAATGGAAGGACCATGGAAGCCCCCTCTAAAGCCTTGAGGGTTTATTACACTGTCAACTATCTTCTTCACAGAAAGCTCCTCAGCTTCCACAACATGGCTCTCTCCTTGCTCTTTCCCCATCTACCTTGAAGACTTAATGTATAACAGGATTATTTCCACTTTCCATGCCTCAATTTCTTTCTTTCTCAAAAAGAAATGAATGTTGTGCTCTTTTTCTCTATACTACTTCCCTTAGGGTCAATAACTGACTTGGCATAATGACTCTCAACTCTTCATCTTCTCAAATCGTCAACCTCTATCTTGAGAGACAGCAAGCACTAAATACATGATCAACTTCACATATAAAATAGACAAATTTGAAGATAACATAACTTTTAAACTCAGTAACACTGAAAACAGAGAGATTATTTATATAATACTATGTTCACTTGCTTCCTGAAAATACAAGACTGTTTTTCTAAACAGCTGACGCCTTCTGATACATGTCACATTTTCTTAACAGACTAGAAGAAGCTCTCTCCCTAGCTCTTTCCCCATTTACTCTGAAGACTCTATGTATAACAAGATATTTCCACTTTCACGCCTCAATTCCATATCCAGTTGTTTTATATAAGTATAAATTTTTGTTTTTTCATTTTCATAAGTTATAGTTACACTAACTCAGCTTCTCAATTATGTCTGTTATAGTTCACATGATAAAAATTTTAATATACACTAATTTAAATCAAAGTTTGTACTTGATGTATCAAAATTATCAAAATGCTTAAGATAACTATAAATGAAATATAAGCACATAAATTAAATGGCATGGTTTTTTAATATTAAAATTAATATACAAAATAAGATTTGCCACTATGGAGAAATTTTGTTAAATATATAGAAATGTCGTTGGCATAAATTATGTACCTTAATATTTACATTTTTAGAAAAGCAGTTTAGAGAAATCATTAATTTTCAATAAGTGGATGAAGCCCTGTACCTAAAAAAAAAAAGAGTACAATATTTCAACACTCTTAACACTCTTCCTTCAGTTTTTCAGAACCTACCGGAGAGATTCGGCCATTCGCCTCAAGTCTTCATTTTGCTGTTTTAAGCGTTCAAGCTTTGCCAGAATCTTGGACAGTTCTCGGCTAGAGTGATCGGGGTGGTCATTATCTCGTACCAAGTGACCACCTATATAAAATAGCAAGGTCCCCCAGGCAAAAAGAATGAGCATAATCCAACGCCAGGAACCAGTCCATGGCCGCATTTTCAGATTTTTAATTCACTCCCTTGGCTTCCTGGATTTCAAAGAATTGAAAACATTGTAACTCTGTTTCTAACTAGTCCAAAGGTAGTAGTCGCCTTCTGTTGTTTTACCACATGATGCTTCAAATTAGTGTCTCTGGTAGTCCTGAGGTGAATCCTTCAAAGAGATCCTCCTGATGGTACGAGTAGGAAGTTTTATTGTCCTGTGCTTCATGTACTCTACATGCTGTGGAAAGAGTAAGAAATGTTATTTACATTATTTAGGATATGTAAAATAGCATATGCTGAGATTCATGGAGTTAAAGGAAACAACATTGTTGTTGGCTAGCCAACAGGCTAGCGAATAACCTAACTGCCCTCTAACAGGTAAAAAGCAAAAGCTTTTGTCTACATACTAAATCAACCTTGCATATCAGAGCTCTACCAGATAAATGAATTAGCCTGAAAGTCCTCTTAAGTGCCATCATCACTTTTCCTTCTTACATTATTGTACAACAGATCATACATGGAGATTAAATACTGTATCTTTGAGTAATCAATCAAAACCAAACAAAATGTATTTGACTACATATTTTGGGCTAATGTTTCCATATCTCAAACAGCAGCATGTTCTATGAGTGAGTTAATTCCTACAAGATCTCAACTATACCTCCCTCCATATCATTGCTCTGCTGCAATTGTATCACTTTGCAGGTGACAGGCAAATTGTCATTTTTTGGATAAATTCTAAAAGTAACATGCCTGTTAGGGAAGCAAAGTCATTAGGCAGTTCGCAACCACTCCAAACATCACAAGGAGAGGTACATATGGATTAGGCTAGATTATTCTTTCTTTAGATTTATTTAAAAATACCAGTGATTGCAAAAGAAACCTAATACCAATTAAAACTTAGTTACTGTGTATCTTAAACTACCAAAGCACATGCTTTCTCAGGCTTGGCTATGGGTTTCATTTATCACTTCCGCATCGTTATACTTAAAATTACCTTTGGAAATAAAACCATTCTTTTCCCAAAAGGAAAATTTATAGGAAAAGTTATAACTTTAATACCATTTGATAACTCCAGAACTATGTAAGAAAAATCATCTCTCTAGATACATAGTTCCTTGTAAAACAAAGAGAAAAAAAGGCAATATTTTTTATATAAGACTTAATGTGATAAGCCCATGACCACTAATAAAACAATTATTAAAGACTAAATAGAAAAGTTGGAGAAAAGGCTTCAAAAGTAGAGCACAGAGTTTCTATTTATTTACTTTTGACTCTCCAATCTCAAATGTTTTTTAAATGGCCAAAGTATTCAAAGAGAAGAAAATCTCCTCAAATAACTGTCCTAAAAACAATCTACTTCCTTCCCATAATATTCCTACACTGTTTTCTTCATTGTTACTGGCTTATAATAGCTAAAACACAGAATGAAAAGAATTATACTCATTAAGAATTAAGAACCAAAAAAAAAACGCAATAATCCAAATGAAAAGTTGGTGTTCTGTCTGTTGTTTTAATAAATACTCTTTAAATCTAGAGAACACTCTTAATTGATTCCCAGTTCATCATGTGTCTTTCACAAAACCCTGTTCCTCTAGTCTTAAGTACCCTATTCACTAAAACATAGTAATAATTAAATCTATTCAATGTATCAGATAAAAGATCCATCTGAAGTCTACTTTTCATATTATATAGGAAAAATGCAGATAGATATTCAAGGCTTCCAGCTTAAAAAAAAACAAATAAAAAATTGATCCATTCTTATGATCTATGGGAATGATTATAATTCAGTAAATCAACAAAATAAATTAAGTATTAACATTTGAGTTATTACTGCTGTGGCAACATATGAATCCTGTAAAGTACAATGATACCATATGCTGAACTTCTAATATAGTTAATTCCAAATTATACCAATTTTCAGATACTAAAAGTATTTTTATCTTTCCCTTCATACCAAAAGTTAACTTAGAAAGACAACTGTAATAAACTGAAGGAAAGACAGCTTTCTAAACAAAAATCATTTTACTTAGAATTACAAAAAAAAAATTATCATAAGTATTCAAAGCCAGCAAAAGTATAACTTGAATAGAAATAAAAGATTGTAGAAACATATATTTTGTTACACAGGGTACCTTAGAAAAGTTTTTATAAACCACCATTAAAATAATCCAGGATGTAAAATTTCTAGTTTATAGCAATATTGATATTAGATGAGCTGCAAAAGCAATAAATTGTAGGAGCAAACATGGCCATTTTCTTAATAGCATCATTTTAACTTTGTTTTTAGAGATACTGGCTCTCCAAATTTAATTGTTCTTAGCCAGTACTTTAAAATGGGATGAACAAAAATAAGCCAAGCTAAAAACCTAGTAGTTTTCTATGTAATTTTCTTTAGTATGGTTTAAAGAATTTTTAAAGGTTTAGAATTTCTTCCCTAGCCATAATGAATGCCTGCCTTCTTGCTTACTAGGTTTATTGTTTGACCCATGCCTGCTAAAATATAAAGTTCATAATTTTTGTCCATCTTGCTCACTGATGTATCCCAAGTATTTACAGCAGTGATTGGCACATAGTAGGCACCAATAAATGTTTTTCAATAAATGAATTAAGTGAATGAGTAAGGGAAGGATGTCTTAGATGAAATACGCTAGTATGACATGACAGAATCCTAACACATTCAAATACACTGCATGCCCCACTTGAGAAAGAAAACCTGAATGTAGAAAGTGAGACAGTGCTATTAATAAGGAAAATGGTTCAAAAATAAAATCATTTATAAACTTATTGTTGTCAACATATACCTTACAAGATACCCCTCCAATGATTAATATAACTGGTCTGAAAGACCATAATATCAGCAGTCTTATGTTTACCTTTTAAGCATGAGAAAACAATTTCTTTTTACTTTGTCTCATTTTCCTCATCTAGACTCTGCAAAGACAATGGGTTGACTGAAGAAAGTATATACAACCTTTATATGAAAGCCATTCAATTTATTTGTTAAAACAACTTACTAGTGAAAATATTTCAAATGTATTAGTAAAATATTTCAACATTAACTACATGAGCTAAATCTGACTAAAATTTATATAATAGTATTTATATATTTATATAAATCTCTTCTGGGAGTAGGTTGTTTTCTTTTCAAGTATTTATGAATTCTTTCCTGTTTGAGATTCACACACTACCCTTTATTTGCAGAATACTGAATGGATTGACATGTATTAGGCTCCCTTCTGTGAACTTGTTAATTAGCGATACCATTTTTTATAAGGTAGTAGGTATTTGAAATGAAATGACTCATTTCTTTTGGTACTTATAGTGACTCTTTGGGTTATATTTACTTAATGTCTCTGAAAAAAAGAATATATGTAAGTTTTCAAAGTAGTTTCTTGAGTCTGAAAGCTAGAGTACATAATCAGTAAGACTTGGAGCTTTAATGGAGTTACTGTGAGGCTTCTATGAAGTTCATATACAAGCATTTACTGTAATATTTGGCACATTAAGGAGTGCTCAATAAAAGGTAATTCTCTTTTAATGCTGACAAGACATGGAGCTTAAAAATATGAGTGCTAGAACTGGCAAGGCCTAGGCTGAAGTCTTGGTTCTGCTACATCACAGCTAGGCAATCCTGATGAACTAAAATTTCTTTATCTGTAAAACAGATATAATACATACTACCTCTCCCACAGAATACCTGGAAGAGGCTTAAATAAAATAATCTATGGGAAGCAGTTGGTATGCCAGTAGCAAATTTTTATTATGCTACATATGCTAATGCTGTTATATCATTTTATAGACCCAATTATAATATTTTATAGAATTTATACAACATGTGTTATTATAGGAAGTTTCTAAAATGGCTGCTAATGATTCCTGTGTCTTGTATTCACATCCTTATACAATCTCCTTCTGAGTGTGGCTAAGCCTAGTGATTTGCTTCTTAAATAGAATATTGCAAAAGTCATAGGATTTCACTTCTCAGATAAGGTTACAAAAGACCAAAACTTCTATCTTGTCCACTTTCATGATATAAGCTATTAGATTGTGAGCTGCCCTATGAAAAAGCCCATGTGGAAAGGAACAGAATCCTGCCAACAACCATATGGGTAGACTTGGGAATGGATCCTGCACCAGTCAAGCCTTGACATGACAGTAGCTTGGTCCACAAATTTTTATTTTTGGGGTTTTGAAAGACCCTGAGCCAGAGGATCCAGCTAAGCCATGTCCAGATTCCTGACCAACAAACATAATAAAATGTTGTTTTAAACCACTTAGTCTTAGGATAATTTGTTACACAGAAATAGATAATTAACATACATGTCTACTTTCCCTGCTAGGCTAAGTAACCTGGTCATGTTATTCTTTCTGTCTTGAGCAAGTTGTATGAAGTCAACAGCATACAGTAAGAATTCAAGATGTAAGACAGAACTGAATCTTAATTATATTTTCTTATATTATCTTGCTTACACCTTACAAATACTGTAATCAACTCATAGCAAAAAAGAGAGTCAATAGATAAAAGAAAATTATTAGTTTTATACTATACTAAAAGCCTAAATGCATTTTTATTAATGTTTTCTAAACAGAGTTCCACTCCAAACCATGACAGAATAATTAATACTAGATTTGACCTCCCACATAAACAACAAGGAAACTTAAATATTTAGAAAAACTGCTTGTAGATATTGGGCAATGGCCAGACAAGACTGCTTAAGAGAAGGCTAACAATCAAAGGTAAGCCTTATAATTACTCTAGCTTTCTGCCTATAATTTGCCAAACATTCACATAAACAAGGATAACCCAGGTAAAGCAGAGCCATCTTATTGAAGTGTGAAAACAAAGACTGAAGCTCCAGGAGTTTAAAGGTGGCTGAAATCTGCAAGCCAGTGTACTAAAGAAGAGGTAGTTGTCCAGAGAATAGGCTCCAGAAATTTGCATAGGTGATTCTTTGAGTCTTTGGCTGGATACTAAGCTCTGCATACATAGTAAGTCCTTATGAGGCTGGCAAAGAATCATAATCAAGAATAGAAAAATTATAAATACTAGGTAGCTGAAAGCTGAACATCTCTTAGAGATTATAAAGGGCAGACCTATGAGTTCCAACAAAATACAATGAAAATACCGCATAGAAAATGTGGCATTCAATAGGACCCCCACATGGGGCATATAGTAGAAACCGAAGAAATAAAGCATCTTTGAAGTTAGGGTTAAGCAAGCCCTGGAGTAGAGAT